ATATATATATACATATATATATATATATGGCAAAAAAGTGCTCTGGGTGACATCACCCCCATCACTTACCCCCCTCCAAAGACACCTTTTGCAGGGGTTAACCTATGTAGGCTGGATATAGAGTATAAAATATGGCAGAATTACTCATAGGGCTAAAAAAGTACAGCCTGGGATTGTGTTTAAGCTCTTGCTCACTTAACTACGTTCATTGCTGGCTGAGACTGACTCAGTCCTACCTCTGGGTAACAAACTCTGCTGGCAAGGAGCAAAAGTGACAAACAATAATGCTGCCCATGACACCTACCTGGTGGGCCTGGCAGTCCTTGACTGCCCGTGAGGCCAGCGGGTCCTGCAGGTCCAGTGGGACCCTTCATACCTGAAACATCAAATTCACACAGTTACACAGTGAAAGAACATGCTGTCTTACAAACTGCTGCAGGAGTGGCCAAAATCAGGCTTCTTTCCTCCCTGAGGGGCTGTTACTGTGTCTGGAGGTTTTCACTTGAAATGCCAGTTAAATACCTGGGAATCCTGGAACGCCTGGAACCCCAGGGTCGCCCTTCATTCCATTCAGACCTGGACGACCAGGATCCCCCTGAACAGAACAGCTTCACGTTATTCACACATCTCCTCAGCAGTTTCAGATACGCAGATAGAAAAGGTGGCGAGGGAACAAATAAACACACTTTGGGTCTGTCAACTAGTGCTTTGAAGGGCTGAGGCCGTGCATTGTGCTCACTGCACTGGGTGCTGTCAGAGGATGCAGTAATGCGAAGAGTGCAGTAACAGTTCCAGCTCCCTCAGGAATATAATGGGGATGTCCCACCCAGATACAAGGAAAAGACCTTCTTAGTACAAGACAGTGTTAGCTATCACGTTTTAGCTTTTATTTTACTATGATAAACTGCATATTCCACCCAAATACATTAATTTTTTGTTGCATTTAGAAATAAAGTATGGGGAGAACTCCATGCCTTGTCCTACCTGGCGTCCAGGTGGTCCTTGATCTCCCTTTTGACCAGTCAGGCCAGGGGGGCCAGGTTGACCTGGATTCCCTTTTTCTCCTTTAAGTCCTCCAGTGCCTGGTGGCCCTCGTGGACCTTCTGGGCCTGGTGGACCTTAACATTGCAGAACAAATACATGTGTATCAGTACATATCAACCATCCTCCCCATGTTTGTGCCTTCAGCGTAAAAAACCTAAATAAATTAAAGGTATTTTGGCTTCACTTCCCAGCTCTGCTTCTGAATTCAGGATAAACTAAAAGGAAAACAAATAGGGGGATTATTTGCACTACCCAAATTGGGAACCCAGGCTCCTTATCTAGCTGATGGAGAGAAGCAGGTCTTTCCAGAGGGCACTGCAACTCACTTGTGATAGAAGTTTACCAGTGACCAGACCAGTACCTTTAGTAGGACCCGAGAACCCCAAAATTAGATGGTACAAATATCCCCTCTGCTGACCTGTGTTACGTTCACCATCTCTTAGGTGCTATCTTAGCAGACTGAATTCCTTTTGAAAGCCAATCTCAACAATGTAAAATTGATGCTTTTTTGCTGTTCGAATTTGACATGCCTTTGGAGAAGGCTGGTACGTGCTGTCTGCTGACAGCAGGGCAGCAGGAAGCCCATCATTCTGCCTTGTCTAAATAACAACTGGAGGTGCAGAAACTTCCTTATGACTCTCCCTCCAACTGATTTGTCTGTCCTTGGTAGAATTATGCTGTGTAAATCCAGTAGAGGAGCAGGGCTGGTTTTTAAATACTTTGCCTTTGCTACAGCCTCATTAAACCAAAGCAGTGGATTTAAAAGAAATCTGGGTATTTGGAGAACTGACAGTTGAGAGCCCCACCTTTATGCCAACCGTCTAAATAGAAGGTAACCAATATTAATTTGTGGCAAAACAAACAGGAGGCAAGTGCAGCAACATCTAGTAACATTTTACAAGTTAGATCTCATAACTGGATTAACAAAGGATCTCTCTGCAGGACAGTGCTAAGACATTCTCCCCTGTAGTACAACAAATCTAACAACATTTATCAGTGTGCTGTATTTTCAGTTCTGCTGCAACCTCCAATAATTTAACATCTCCTTTGGTATCCTCACAGTCTATATTCAGTGGTTACATTTGAGGAGCTGTATTTCTGCATGCAAATCTGAGGATGAATTCCTTCCAAAATTGTTCTTTTTAAATCAACAGCAGTTTTGTAGCACATTTCACACGTATCCTGTAGCAGTTCCAGCTACAGAAAACATCCCATCATGCGAGTATTTTGTCTTCATTTTGCTCTTTTACACTGGTCTAGTACCGTACACATGCAAAATACTACCAGGTTACCATGTGAGGCATGCTGCTCAAACACCGGGTCTGCAGGTAACCACAGTCCTTAACAAGGTAATCCCAGAACTACAGGAAAACATCATTTCTCTTACATCAAGTGCAACGCAGTAAAATAAATTGCCCGAGTTAAGAGTCTAACCTGGAGCACCTGGAAGGATCAGAGTTCACCAAAGCCCAATGATCGATGTTAGAAGGGTCAGACATCACACAGTACAAAACAAGATTACTAGTTAGAAATAGTACAGATGACAGCATATACACTACACAACAACCCATTTCACCAGCATATTTTGTATTTACAATGTAATCCACATGCATGCATAAAACCATACATGAATACACAACGATATGTATTTTCAGATACAAGTTATTCTGGTGACTAGGCTCTCCTAAGACTAATTTGACACTTCATTTAACAACAAACTTAAAGCTTTACTAAAGAATGTGTTATTGTTTTAACATTACACTGAGGCCTTTGTGATTAGTCCTACTCACAGTGGGGTCTGTAACCATTTCACTGACAATACTCAACATCACAGAGCCTGGGGCTTGGCAAATATGGAGGTAAATGGTGAATGACAACTTACTCCTGAGCAAAATTCTGCTCTGGGCAGAGGGAAAGCAGCACTTGTCACCAGTAACCGGGGATGAGCCTCAACTAATAGTGAATACAATTGTAGGACTGAAAAGTAGGCTTATACCTTCTTCAAAATGGTAAGGAGGATTGACATGGATCAAAAGGGTTGCAAATGCTGTCAGCAACTTGGTCTTTCATGTCAGTGAAATGATTTAAGTATATCCACATATTACCATGCAATTTGCAGCTAAAAACTACAATAAATACATGTCAGGTTTACCTCAATGCACTTTCTTACATATTTAAATGTAAATCTAAATTACTTTAAATACTAACTGTAATACAGTTGTTAAAAATAACAACATGGATGTTTCACGGTTACTGTTAAGAACTTATAAACTCTATTTCACTGTCAGGTTTTGCTATGATTTATAACTACGTCCTGCACTTGTTGATTATTGAATTCTGGTGAGCGCAGTCACAGGGTGGGACACCACATGAAGTGATTGCAGAGTTCCTCTCAGCATACCCATGGTGGTAGCCCTCTTGGAAATAGGGGTTGCTGGTTGTGTGGCCACACTTCAATTAAAAGGTAGAGCCACATTCATTTTTCACATGACTGCATAAAGCTTGGATTCAAACATCAGGGGCTGCCACATTTGCTGCCTCTCAGTGCTTAGGACAGCACACCAAAAACTGAAATGTGTTATGAATTCCCATGAGAGTTCCTCCCTGTGAGGGTGCTGAGGCGCTGGCACAGGTTGCCCAGAGGAGCTGTGGCTGCCCCATCCCTGGCAGTGTTCAAGGCCAGGTTGGACACAGGGGCTTGGAGCAACCTGCTCTAGTGGAAGGTGTCCCTGCCCGTGGCTTGGAACTGGATGAGCTTTAAGGTCCCTTCCAATGTAAACCAGTCTGTGATTCCTGAAAGACATCATAGCAAAACCTAAACACATCATTATTATCACATAGATATACCAAGTCATTTTCAATCCAGGCACAGATGTTGAAAATCTTCCCAAGAGCTGGCTGATGTTACATGCTGATGTTCTGTAATTACAATCAGCTTGTGAAAACGACCATGTTCTAACCAATCCCATTTCACTGTCTTATCATAAGGAAGGGGAGAGCTGTAATGCTTCATTTTCATTAAATAAATGTTAAAGGAAGAGTTTTCCTCATTTTCTCTAAATGTACTGGTGAAGCAAAACGATGGAAATGGGGATTTCTCTGCACAGGAAAGCTACAATGCTCTAAGTTGGGAATGTAAAGCACCACTGTTACTCTGTATAAATTTGCCTACAACAGTGTAGGTATAAAAGAAGCATCTAATTTATTTAAGTCACTTGAGAATGTCCAAAACCAACAGTAGTAGGTGTTACAAAAATGAATACTGTCGCTTGCCCAAGCTGCAAAACTCAACTACACAGCAAAGACATGGGAGGACAGCACAATATGCTCTTCTAAAGAGGATGGAAAACAGCATATATTGTTTCCAACTGTGCTGAGAATAAATATGCTAAAACAAGCTTCACAGCTGGGGACACTTTAGGAAAGCCTTGCAAATCTGGACCCACATGGGGAGCACAAGACTATGTCCTTCCATGTCAGTCCTACAACAACATGGAGGAAGAATCTGAAAGCCAACTCTGAGCTTTTCTTTTCTGCCACAGATTAGAAGGCATGTCTGAAAAATGACTTGGCATATCTACATTTAGACACTACAAAAGTATTTATACATTATTTTCATGCAAAGTTATTATCTTGGAGTTAAGGGGCTAACCTGAGGGACCTGGGAGTAGGGGGTCAGAGTTCACCAAGGTCATCATTAGAACAAGGGGAAAAACATCAAAATTGTTAGACATATCAACAAGCTAACATATTCAACTAAACCTTTCTTTTTAGATTTAGCTCAATATTCCTTTACATACAGTATGCAAAACACCAAACCATTATTATTCATAGAAATTAAAATAGTAACAGTGGAGTAACAGTGATGTTGTGTTGCCCTTGAAATTGGCTTGATTTTATAATTAATAAATCCAACCCAATCCCATTTATCAATGCTTGTTTTAGGGGCAGCTCAACTGAAGTCAGAGAGCTACATCATGCTTGACTTCATCACTTTTACTAATCTTAGAAGATACCCAGAAGCCAACAACAAACAGCATACACATACAGCTTCTGGATTTATTTATGTCCCTAGAAGGAGGGTAATTTCACAGCCACACAGCTGCTTTTATGACTAACTGCCTTATGTTGGAATGTTACAAACTCAGCATTCCAACAATAAGACTGTGTTATCGTTTGAAACAAAAGGCTGGAGTGCTGATGGTACCAGAACTGCAATAATAGTTTGGTTTATCCACATTAGTTCACGCATAACTGAGCAAAACAAATGCTTCACTTTATACATTGCATGCAACAAAAATGGAAATAAGAGAGAAAGAGAGAAAGAGGCAGTGAGAGAACATGGCTGAGCAGAACCTCACTGGTTGTTTCTCCCCTGCCAGTGCTCATAGAACTGCACAAATCAGTCCCACCATTCCTCTGCGTCTCCAGCTGATTAGCCAGTAAGCACCTGATTTATATAGAGAAGTGTGAATAGGATGAGAAGCTTCATAAAACCACCAATGCTACAGCAGGGCATGGAATCTCAGTTGGTAGTTTTATTATACATCAGGAGCTGCTTAGCTTTTTCTTTTCTTTAAGAGTTTGGAGATATTAATTGTATAAGAATCCTTTCAAATGAAAGCTTCCAGTGCCAAAATCGTAGTTGCTGTACCACTCTACATAGAGAAAAATAATCTTTGGAAGATCTTGACATCTAGGATGTCTCAGGGCTTTATTTGGGCACAGTTGAATTACAAAGCCCAAGTCCAGCATCCCACCATCTCCTATCCCTTCACTCCTCCTCCCACTGCCCCAGCAGTATCGAAATGCAAATAAACATTCTATGACACAAACCAGAAATCAAGTTCTAATCCACGCCAGGGAGTTGCTCAGCAATGTTAACTCGAAATGGTGGTTTCTTTCATTCCCAGGATTAGTTGGTGCAGGAACAAAATGCAAACATGGAATGGAAAGATGAACACGGCATGATGGTGCACTGAGTCCGTGGGAGCCACATGACACAATGGAGCAATGGCTTATGTTACATGGCACGCAGATGAAGAGGCAGCTATCCAATTTGGTCATGCTGTGATGCTAGTGGGGGTTTGATTGTCAGGACTCTTAAAATGATGGGGTTTGTTACTTTGGGGTTTTTGTGCGCGATGACATTTGCTGATCACGGGACAACACTGCAAAGGTATCAGGTGCTCAGGAGTCGGCATCGTGCGCGCTAGATGATTACTGTGACAGCATGCGGAGGATCTCCCGTTATCAACGCGTTAGGGTTTTGCTGCCAGGTATCAGAAATGAACAGAAACTGAGGCTGGTTTATTTTTAGATAGCTACTTTTGGCAACAAAAATCCTCTGGTTGCCCACAAACATTAAGACCAAGGCCATGAGGCTTGAACTTATCCATCCAAAAAAACTGACAAAGTTTGAAGGCTGATAACCTACCAGCAAAATGTGAACGTACTGGCAGATGTTGATAGGTAGGGATCACCCTCTTACCTGGCCGTCCTGGAACGCCTGGCGGGCCGGGGCTACCTTTAGGACCTTCCAGAGGTGGTCCTGGTAATCCTGGTGGACCTGGTGGACCCTGTAGACCAGGGAATCCCTGGAAACCTGGTTCTCCCTTCAGACCTGGAAGTCCAGGGGGCCCTGGTGGGCCAGGTAACCCCAGTTCTCCTTTTTGCCCTGTAAAACCAAATAGCCACGTTTATGAATACTGTTACAAATTGATAGGCAAAAAAGCTCCAATGTCAATATACAGAGCCATTTCTCTCTCCTGCAGAATGGGCAAGTCTGGCCACAACTCATCTAATTTGTGCAGTGAGACTGTATAAAATTGGTCTAACATTCAGAAAAGAGTTAGAGCTAACATTTTTTGCAGGAAGAAGTGCTATAGATGCTGACCTGTTAAAAGGTCTTACTAAGTCTCACTTCACTGCTCAGTGATGCTGTAATTCCTACGAGTTTGTAAGCCTACAAGCAATGATTTATGGGAAGAAATCTATCAATATTAAGACTGCATCCTTTTTTGAGACACTGCTGGAAGTTAAGACATACTTGCAAATTTTCAAATAAGAATTTAGGAGATTTAATGCTACTGGAAAGTAGCATAGCTCAGGTTGTGATGTTGCTTTTGAAAACGTAGCAGGCAACTATACTTTCAAAGCAGCTTCATTTGTCATCTGCTGTATGAATGCTTTATTTACTGAGACAAATCAGCAAAGTTCCACACAATGCAGTTGACTATTACCCTGTGCCCTGTGTAGATTTATTCTGTCTGCATAATTGCTAAGTTACCAAGTTCAGTAATCAGTAATGTGTGTTTATTACTGTGGTTAATTGAAAATGGTCTGCTAAGAGCCGAGAAAACGTTATTCTGGTGGTTGCTATAGCATTCATTTGTTGCAGAACATCCAACGTGCTCTCTTTTTTTGGTGTATAGATGTAGTTTACTTTCAACCTTTACCTGACAGTCCTGGGAGTCCTGGAGGTCCTGGGCGCCCAAAACCTGGTAGACCTGAAAAGGAACAGATTGAGTTACTGATGAATATTTAGCTTTCAAGTCTCCAGGAATAGGAATATGGGGCTGAGAATGGTGAAAGTGCAATTCACCTAAATCTGTGATTCTCTGTATTCTTGATTCCTGGTAGTTACCAGGATTCTCATTCAGTCACCAGACTATACCAAAGCTAGAGGTTTTGCTACAAATGCATCATAAACACTTCCACAACGCTCTTTCAGATTTTGTGAGTTCATACATTTGCATTCTTGGTTGGGGTTTTATCTTTAAGGCAGACGTTAGACTGTTTATCCATTCTGAGCGGAAGCCACGGAGCTACCATGGAATCCAGGAACAGGGGCTGGTGTTGAAGTCAGGTAATAAAAATCTAATAGCTGATTGCATTCTTGCCCTGTGCTTCATTGGCAGCTTGACAGCACCCTTTGTGAACCATTCAGCAGCTGGGAACCACAGGAGCAGCTTGAAGGTGTATGGGCAGTATAGGAAAAATAGAGAAAGCAGGACATCACAATGCAGAGTGACAAGGAGAAAACCAACAGGAAGGATACCTTACCTGGTTCACCCTTCTGACCAGCTGGCCCAGGGATACCATCTCGACCAGGCTGTCCCTTCTCCCCTGAAGGACCAGGAGGGCCAGGACGACCAGTATCACCTAAAAGGGGGATAGAACACCTTAGCACAGTAATGCCTAACCTGTGATTAAAAAAAAGCAACCTTCCCACCTCCCCCATCTGAGTGTGAAGTGTGACAATGAAATAGCAAATTCACAGTGGTGTAATCTGAAAACTAAAACCTTTCTCTCTCCCCTGACAATTTAGAAAAGGCTTTTATGCATTTGACCTTTTAAGCAGTTAGTGTTTGCTGAAAATAATATACTGCTTCCCTTTGGGATAAATTAGAATTTTGCTCCTATAAAAACAGGTTAGACCACTGGAGTACTTAACATAAAGCTGGTAAATCAGAGAATCATAGAATAGTTAGGGTTGGAAAAGACCTTAAGATTATCTAGTTCCAACCCCCCTGCCATGGGCAGGGACACCACACACTAAACCATGTCACCCAAGGCTCTGTCCAACCTGGCCTTAAACACTGAAACAGTTAACTTCTTGTTTCAATAGCTAACGGTTAGACTATCACAGCAGACACAAGTCATCAAGAGAGAGTTAAATCTACCTTCTTTTCTGTTTTACAGTGAAGTGTGTGCAATGGTGTTAGAGCATCCATACATATACAGATGTTAAAAAAGATAAGAGAAGAAGTGGCTTCATGTGTTTTTCACAGAAGGAGGTGACCCTTGTTCATGCTCACCTACTGGCCCAGGTGGTCCAGGCAGGCCAGGGTTACCTGGAGGCCCCTCAATACCTTTTGGTCCTGGAATTCCTGGCGTTCCTGTAAAGTATGGGCATTTCAATCAAAGTAAGCACAAAACTGGCTTTTCAGCAGATCTTGAAATGCTGCAATCTGAGATGTCCTGAGTAACAAATGAGCCAATTGTATCAAGATACTGTACTCAGTTCATTTTGCAGATTTACAGTTGTTTAAGGAGATGAATTATAAAGCAAAGAACACACCAAACCAGAACATATTAGCACAACTGTCCTTACTGCTACTCTCAAGACTCTGTCTTCTTAATTGAGAGTGCCCGTGGCAAAGGACACAGTGAGTCTGCTAGGAAATAGCCATTTTTCTGCCTGACAACAAATGGAAAGCGTTATGAACTGTTGTTGGATAGTCCTTCCCCAGTCATCTTTTCCCAAAAAAGAATCTTAATAAAAATGGTCCTAGTTGGAATTTACACCAGATTCTCACCCCTACAGCATGAACTGAGTGGGAGGTAGGAATAGCAACTGATCCACTGCAGTATGTCTGTTCTGAGCAGCATCTGAACCTGACCAAAGTAGTACACCACTTCGACTGTTCACAGTCTTTCAGGCATGACATGAAGCAGCGGGTAAAAAATGTTAGTTCACGGCCAGGTTTTGTTCTGTTCTAAGCTTCCTGCTGCCATGACTACACTGTTATAAATTCCCTAACTTCATAATTAAAGTAGCTCAAAAGCCTGCTTATACAACAGCCTTTATTGCTGCAAATGCAGGACAGGTAAACACCTTGTTTCTTTAAACTGAAAGCACTGACATACACCCATAAACGATCTCTGTTTTTTCCTAGAGAAGAATCCAAAACCTAATTTCATTATGTTTCAGAATGAGATTTATCCTTAGAACATATTTTTAGACAATGAAGGCTACTAAAAAAGCCCAGTTTTCCTGATGACCCTTTTTTATTGATTCATGAAGGAAAAATCTGGAGCCAAACACAGGTGTTCTGTGGGTCAGAGGAGATGAGGGTCTGATTGCTGTGAGTGGAGAGCATCAGCTAACACAACTGCCACATCCCCTCAGAGCAGGCACTCTTAGGGATGCATTCACAGACTCTTGCAGTGACAATTCCAACAGCACAAAGCTTCACAGCAGATTGATAGAAACTTGGAAAGAAGCTGCACCAATTACCTACTGTGTCTACATGTATATAAGCAAGAGGGAAAGCAAGATTTTGTTCAGAATTACCTGGGAATCCGGGAAGGCCTGGTTCTCCTTTTGCACCTGGGCTGCCTGGAAATCCAGGCAAACCAGGATTTCCAGCTATACCTTTACTGCCTGGACTACCTGGGTATCCAGGCAAACCAAGATCACCCTAGAAAACATGAAGCAGAAATAAGAACCCAGTCTTTGTGGGTAAGCCCTTCTTGTATGTTCCCAGCCATACCATCACAAAAAGGCACCATTATGTTGTGTGTACTTCTCCTTATATCCAGTCAACGTTAACCATCTCACAGAAAATTAACTGGAAATAGCAATTGTAAAGATTGTAGCAGTTTTCCCCTACAATTCAGTGTCTAGTACCACAGCTTTCCCCAGAACATTACAGAAATCACATTAAAGACAAAAGTGTTCTCTTTTCTTGCAGAAGAGATGGGAGAGTTTTACCCTATGACAATGAGAATTCAAGAAGAAATCTGTGGAGCTTTAATCATGCAATGTTTTTGCTAAATTAATTGCTGCTCCATATCAATTGTAAAGCATCAGTGAAGGCTGCTAAATATTCTGTAGGTCTTTTTGTCACTTTCTTGTGGGTGACAAAGGATGATAGAGGTAAATGTTAGTGCAAATGTTTTAGACTTAATTTTAAGCAGCAGAAATCCTGATACATAACTAGTAATTTATTCTTAAATGCATATAGTTGGGGTTTTTTTTAGAATTAACTACATAATTAGACATGGGAACAATGATATTAATTGAATAAATCCCTACCCAATCCCAAAATGTCAGAGGGTGTCACAGTGCAGACTAGGCCACTAACTGAGCCCAACTGGAAAGGTCTGGCAAATCTTCTCCTTTAACCAGATTAAATTATATAGAAATATTTTCACCTTTAAAATTACAAATATTTGTTCCCACCTGGAAAGAACAAACCACAGTCAACCCTGCTTATTACTAATGTATTTATACACATATTTACAGTTATATGTAATATATATTGAGTTAGAGTTGAAAAAAACACAACCAACAACCGATCAACACAGAATGGAATTTCCTCATGGAATTTTCTGTTGAAGAATTTTATAAATGTACCTTTGGTCCAGGAAGACCAGGAATACCGATGCCTGAAAGACCAGGGTCACCTTTCTCCCCTTTCAATCCAGGAAATCCTGCAGGTCCAGGCTGCCCTGGACGTCCTGCTATTCCTTGGCTGCCTTTAATTCCTGGGGGACCTGTCCCAAAGGTAAAACGCAAGTTTTATAAATATAGATAAAACTTCTGCGGTGATTTAGAGAAATCGCTCAAATTACAACAACTGAAGCAGAAAGGACTAAGAAATAGACTTTCTCCTTCCCCTTTTGATTGTGCCTGATGTCTGTCTTCTAACAGGTGGGTTTATAGAATGATCTGTTTCCTGAACTTTCACAGAGTAAAATCTGAGAAACCAGAAGTATGAAAGTTACAAAATGTAGATCCTTCTGCTTTACATGTGTAAGCACTTTAAAATTAAATGCATTCACAATATATTTGCTATTTGCATTTCCAATTTCTTATGTACTATTTCAACAAATATGTATCTAGGGCTTTATGTATTCCTCAGCTGCATGTCCTTTAAATACCCTACTAGATATTGCACACAGCAGATCCATGTTTGTGTTATGTAAAAGGAAAACACTGGCCAAAATGAAGTAAAATACAAGTACAGAAACTAACCTGGCAGGCCCATCTCTCCCATGGCACCTTTTAACCCTGGAGGTCCTGTTGGTCCTGGTGGCCCAGGAAGCCCCGTGTCTCCTTTGATGCCTAGGAAAGTCGTGGGTTTAGTTATTTAATGGCAACAATTAAAAGTCTCTGATATTCATGAGTTGCATATGAATATGCTTGTCATCCAATTACAAAGGCAATGGATTTGGAGTTTCTTTAGGCCTCATACTGCTCCTACACGCTTTTTCACACCCATTTGCAATGAAATATCAAACATCTTTAGTTTGTTCTAAGCTGACATTTGATCAGGGCAACTTCTTTGTTTTGAAGATTAGCCAAATGAAATAGGTCAAACCTCAATCCAGGATTTAGTAACCATCTGAAACAACTTAGTATTGGTGTGACTTGGTCTCTCCTGAGTTGTTCTGCAGAATGAACACATTATCTCTTTCTCATCTGCAATAGGTATTCATAGCTTCTATCACAGAATTAAATGTGACCTACAATGCTCAAACTAGTTTGAGTCCTGGAAGGTTAAAAAATTCCCCAAGCCCAACAAGATATTTAGAGCAAGACCTACATTAGACATAGTGAACAAAGAGTCAAGATTTCAGGTAAATTGTTATAACTGTAGGAAGAAGTAGTGCAAAATGGAATTGGTTTTCTTGATCCTTGCAATTCTTTAAAGCGACGTTGTGACACCCAGCCAGCCTTCGCAGTACATTCATTTGGCCATTTGCAAAGTATGAGTATAATGACTAACAATGTAAGAAATAAACAAGAGACACAGACAAGTCATATTGGCAGATCCTGCAGTCATGTTGCTTGCTCAAGCAGCAAGCACTTTTCCAGTCATCCTAAAAGCATTCCTAGTCTTCAGTGGAATCAGCTTAAAACTGCTCTTGGGTCTGCCAGAAAGAACGAGCTCAAAGCATGCTGTTTGGATGATGATCTTCAACGTCCCAAAACTGCTGCAGATTTAAGTGTAAATCCCTAGGCTTTGCTTAGATACACCTGGATTAACATCCCAATCCCATGTGATAATAACACATGCAAATGTCTACACATCAAACCGTCCATCTGAGGCCATTTACTCACCTGGCAATCCTGGCACACCTGGAGGGCCACTGAGTCCTGGTGGGCCTGGGTCACCTGGGAGACCTTGATAACCTTTCTGTCCTGATAAACCAGGAATACCTCAAAGGACAAAGACACATTCTATTATTAATACTGTTACTGTTTGTTTTCTTGTACCTTAAGACATCAGATGTAGCTCTAGGTGAGTAAAAATCCACATAGGGATTTTTCTTCAGTAAATATAATTCCCCTTAGTTAAGCAAAGAGAACTGCCACAGAACACTTCATATTGCTTCTGGAAAGTTTAAAACTACTGCAGAACAGGAACAATATAAGTAAGTAGAGGAAAAAGTAACTTTATGACTAATGCCAATATACTTCATTCAGAAGGGAGTGTCTTTTTGGAGGAGCACACCCCATGCTAAACTCTCTACAGTCATCCAGATTATTGACGTATATGTTTAGTAACATTGCTACACAATTAGCACTTTGGGACTGACATATTATAAAAAGCAGTGCAGGTATTTTAGCAGAATTTTACATATTCTATGTGGTTATTACCCCATACAATAACTCCGTGCTGCTCTGCAGGTATATTTAAATCTGCCCTCTACAGCTCTTACCTAACAGAGGGGCAGGGGGGAAAGCAGAAAAGGTAAATGTTTTAGGATCCTACATAGGCTTCACAGAAATTAACACAAATTAACACAAAAGATAAATTAGCAAATAATGGCTGGGCCAAAATTAGAGAAAGGCATTCTGCTCTCTAGGGTGCAATATTTTTACTCTTCTCAAGACTAAATTAGAGATCAAAGGAGACATCAGAACCCTTGATGAGGGACGAGAGGGAAGCCAGCAAGTGAGAGAGAAACAGAATGGAGTGAACTGAAAAACCTTCCAGGCTGTCAGCTTCCCAAATAGAAACACAGAGAGAGGTGACATTTTGCTCAGGGTAGGGTAAGATTACAGAGATACCCAAAGGTAGAATCTGAAGGTGATGGATGAGTAGATGACCTGTGCAATTCCATCTTACAAGGCAAAGGCCTGAGGGACATTGAGACAGCAAGAATGCAGCTGGCACAGCAGACATGACAACTGTCTCATCATGCTTAGGAATAGCAGCTAAAAGACTGAGTTGTAATCCTGCTGA